TTATGTGTATTGATGATGTACATTGGAATCATTATTTGAGCATAATATTTTCAGATGTGGAGAATAAGACAGTTTTTATTATTGTTGTCAAATTATTACAATGTCTCTTGACATATTCTTGTTGTTCTTGTGATATAAGAAAATTATCATATAGTCTACAAATTCCAAGAAAAGGAAGCTTTGAGCATATTATATACATTTATCTACCATTATCTGATTATGAAAATTTCGTCGAATTTTTTCTTTGAGTAATACAGTCGATTTACATTTGAGGCGTGTTCAAGGTATAAATATGCACCATAAAATGAGCACGGTCAAGTAGTACATAAACTATTTTTTATCAATGACTATACCCTTCAAGTCCATCTAGATGTTTGGTATGTGCACTACAAAAAATTGAAAGGTTTTTACATTTTTTAATCAAGATTTTAACTTAACTTTGTTTAGTACTATTTGACTTAGCATCGTAAACGCGTTATAAGTTTTATATATCAAGTTGTAATTCTATAAAGTTATATCATTCCATACAAATCGAGAAGGAAACAAAAAACAAGAACCAACCCTAAACTTATGTAAAGAACTAGCGCAAACCGCAAAGATTTAGGACCCATACCACGCTTGACAACATAAATAAGAGCTACGACATCACTGTAGACGAGCATTTGGCGCAAATGCCGCCTTATTCATTACTCCTTGGTGTACCATTCTCGATGCATCGCATTCGTCAATATCAATATTGAAAGACAAGTCACACACCATTTGGAGACCTTCTTGGAAAGCGTAATCAACTCAGTTGTCTTAGAGTCGAAAATCATCGTCAATCGCATAGAACCTGGCACCACAAAACCAAACCAAGGTAGTCACACAAATAACATCCAGCCTGAGAAGACCTTCCTTCTCCCCCACAGCTGCATCAATATTTATCTCATCTTTATAAATCTCACAGGATTACAATATACATTAAAAAAAAATACCAGGAAACATAAACGTTAAAAAATTATAAATGGAATTAAAATACTCGATTTTTAACCTAGTGAAAAATGTACTTATCTCGTCTTTGAGAGGAAGTGTAACACTACAAGGGAAATACCACTAATTTGCAACTACAAAATGTCCTTCGTAAACTGACCACTTTTTTGTGGAAAATAGTAAAATAACCACTGTTGAAGGAAATTCCGATAGGTTGAAGCTGATTCAAATTTTAAGGAGAACCAATAGAGTTCTTTTGCGAGAAAATGAAGCATTTAATATGAATAAGAAGATATATTTAGTAAAACGTTTTTTGAAAAGTGAAAATACGTAGTTCGACCCTAACAACATTTAGAGCAGGGACGGACCCAGCCCGCCATCCCAGCTCGGGCGGAAGTTGACTGGTCAACGCCGACTGGTCAACGTCGACGGTCAGCGATCGTAAGAGTGAAGTCATTTATTAATAT